CACTCTGAAAGATAATTTTTTTCGAAGTCCATTAAAATATGAAGTGAAATAATAACAGATACTCTTCTAAAAGACATTTTATGATGATGCTATGTGGTTCGTGATAAATCAAGTACTGACAGCTGTCCCATGAGGAACAGGGCCTGTTTTCTCCGTTCATTTGTTTTCTTTCTTCCTTCTTGGTTCAATGTTGTGTTTTGAATGGTTAGAAAATATATGACCTTTACTTGAGTGAGCCTGTTACTAAGTTCAGGCTCATTTAGAGTGAAATCAACAAACACTTAAGATGCATATAGAAATTCTATTGCTTATAGGAAAGAGTGTACTATAGTTAAGAAAACAATGGCACAATGTTATCCCTATTCTGAAACTAAGATAACAGCAATTTTCTAGTGCATATCCACATACAAGCACCTAAAATAAAGAACATCCTAGAAACACTGATAAATATTCTTTTATTTACTTTCACATGATCCATCAAATGGGCATGGTAATATGAAAAGAGGTGTTTCTTCCCATATTTGTAATATTTACATAAATGTGTTCTTTTTCCATTATCTCTTACCAAAAGAATGAATGACAAGTGATCACTGGATTGAAGCTTAGGCATCAATTTTGCTGGTGACTAATTCAAATTCCATTAATTTGAATTCCATTAATTCAAAAAAATTTTAGTATGAGGTATCTGAAGATTAAATTTCAAAGTATTCTACCTAATAATGTCTCATGAACTTCAAATATGGTTATCCGGGCTGAGCAAGAACTTAGGAGAACCACTTCCATCTGGCTACTTCTGCAGAATTTTACTGGAATACCTGAAAACCAGTCTTAAGGGCACCAGGACAGATGAAGGAATTAATAGCCTTCTTAATTCTCGAAATACCTGCTAGTAAGAAGCTACATTATTTTCACAAGTTTGAGGGAACACTGTCAGAAGCTGCCAGTATCCAAACTCTCCTCTCCCAATCGCTCCCCCCCCCACAAAAGACATGACAAGTATTAAAGTAATATTCCCTTCTCATCTTCTTTTCCCAACTTGAGTGTCTTTCGATTTCCTCTACCCTCACCCTTCCCTTCCTGACACTGTGGTGACTAATGACAATAAGAAGGGCGAAGTGAAAACAGTACTTTCCAGTATTTCGCCAGTCCTCCACTACTCCATCCCTAATTAAGAAATTCGGTTTACCGATCCTTTTTTCCGTACGTCTGGGGTAAACAGGCGAGGTAAGAATGGCTTTTCCGAGAGAGCATGGAATCTTTAATGCCACGAAACTCAAGAGACCTTCTTCAAACAACCAGTACAGAGTTTTCTGATCACTGTACTCACGGGAATGGTTGGTGAAGGAGTGGGAGCTTACATAGCTTGGTTCAAGGAAGGGGTCAAAGAACCACCATCCCGCCACCTTCCTACGCCAGCCAGCCCCTTGACAGTCTGTCTCTTAGCGCCTCGCATCCTCGTTCCGGGCCCGACCTGCCCAGTCCGGGTCAGAAAGTCTCCTCTTTCCTTAAAGCCCGACACTGCCAACTTTTCAACCATCACGGTATACTTCTTCTTGGGACACGATCTCAATTTTCACTCAGTCAGGTCCCTCAGCCCCACTCCTGGAGACTCACCAAGCAATTCCGGTCACTCCTCTCCAGCCACAGAAGCTCGGGAACTACCAGACTCAGATCTGCGCCCTTCCTGCGCCTGCGCGCGTCAGAGTCGCGCGCAGGCGCAATTTCTTGGCGCCGCGGGCGTGGACACACCCCTGCAGCTGTAGCCAATCACGATGCTGGGGGTTTAAATATCCCTGCCACGCTGGCGGAGAGCCTGGGGACTCACCCGTAACGGGACAGTTGGACTTCTGCCGGAAGGTGGGAAGTGTTAGTGCAGCAAACGTTTAGTGAGGGCAAACCGTGTACCAGGCACTGTGCGAGATGAACGCTGCGGAAAGAAGGCGAATGGAATGCCTCCCCTGCCCTCCGGGGTCTTTCGATCTATCTAGACTGGAGATGTATACAAACTACAGTGGATGGAATATAGTGTGTGGCATATAGAAAATCCGGGACACCGTTGACACACAATGAACAAAGCACCTTACTTTGAAGGGTGTCTGGAAGGGTTCCCAGAGGAAGTGACTTTTGAATCATGAAGGATAGAGTTCCTCAGGAAGTTGAGGAGGGAGGAAGACAGACTTTTGCGGACTGTTCATTGGGAACAGCTTGTGCCAAGAAAAACATAGAGACTTCTGGAAATTCTTTGTAGTTCATCCTGGTTAGAGGCTTAGAGCTCATCATATATCTCTGGGTGAAGAGGGGAATACATTTTTAAAAGTTGGCTATGGCTATTTCGCTGGTCGGTGTGGCTCAATTGGTGGCGTCCTCCTGGTTAGGGCACATACATACTTAGGTGGCAGGTTCTATCCCAGTCAGGGTGCGTAGTGAGGTAACCAACCAATGTTTCTCTCTCACCTTGACGTTTCTCTCTCACATCTCTCTCTCCCTTCCTCTCTCTAAAAACAATGAAAAAATGTCCTCAGGTGAGGATTAAAACAAATTTTTTCCCAAGTTGGCCATGGCTAGATCTAGGAAGGTCTTGCATGTTTGGACTAGTGAGCCTGTACTTTATACTATGACCACTGAGAACCATTGAAGGGTTTTAAGCAGGTATAGGAATCCTTCCGAGCACCCCTAAGAATGAAGAACAGTGTTGGGAATTGTGAGAGGAAGAAGGGAGGGAGGGAAGGAGAGAGAGAGGTATTCAAAGGAGTAGTGTATTCCTAAGGGGTCAAGGAAGATGAAGCCTGAGAAATTATCTTTTAAAGGTCATTGGTGATCTTAACGATAGCTGTGTGGTAGAATGATGTGGTGGAACCATGAGGTTGAAAGATAGACTGCAGTAGTTTGAAGTGAGGAGATGCAGAAATGGGGGCAAGTTTGTCCTTGAGAGGAGGTGGGAAAGAGGATGACAAGAGGTCAAAGATTTTTGTTTATGTTTTTTGTTTTTTTTTAGTTTTGGTAGCATTAAAACAGAAAAAACTTAAGTATGATAGGGAAGATACAAGTGAGAAAATATAGCTGAATAAAGAGAGTGACTAGGGGGAGGGGTGGGGGAGGAGGAAGAGGGTATAGGGGGATAGATGGTAATGGAAAAATACAATTAAAAAAGAAGAGAAGTGATAGTCAGTGGTAAAGGATCTTGAAATGATGAGAGTAAAGGCAATCCAAAGCACTGCTGGGAAGAATGTCTTGGAAGACAGATACCTCCTCAATCATATAGGGAGGAAGTATTTGTGTGTAAGTTTGTAGGTTTTGTAACAGGAAGTTAAAGAAGTTCTCATTTGGTGACCTCATTTGGTGTGTTCTCTGTGAAACTGTTGATAGAAAAAAGGTTGGGAGTTTTAAGGGAAGTGGAGAACATTTGGAATATTGTAGAAGGTGATACAGCAAGTTGGTCATAGAAAAATAATAGGACTAGTAAACAGTGTTGAGGACCTGTATACAGTCGGTAAAATGAACTCACTTGTTCTGCTCTCCTGTGTGGCTTTCTCAAGCAGTAATCACTTTTTTGAGGGTGGAATTGGAGAAAATGTATGGTTGAGTTTATTTAGGGTTGCAATGGTTACTGGTATAATGCTATGGTCCTTAACCAGGGACATTTTTGCCTTCTAGGGGCATTTGGCAATGTTTGGAGAAATTTCTGATTGTTGAGATGATGGGGTGGGCGGGTGGGAGAAGATGTAAGGGGGGGTACTAGAAACATCTAGTGCCTGGGAATGCTGCTAAATGTCTTGCAATTCATAACACAGCACTAGAATTATCTCCACATTGTCAGTAGTGCCAAGGTTGAGAAATTGTGATCGAGGATTACCTTGATGTTCACCAACAGCTGACTGTGGTCTTCTATAAGCTTTTCCTTGGATTATGGCCTTGAGTTTGTAAGGCATAGCAGTTCTTCCACTGCGTGTCTTTAAAGGAGAGTAGGTTGAGCAGCATACCCTAGGCCTCAAATGGTTCAAGGACTTGTGATGTCACAAATACAGAATTGGAATAGTTGCTCAATCCTGTAGAAGCAAATCTGGATTTACACATAGCTGGAGGGAGCTGCTTACTTTGAGGCATTGAAGGTCCTGTTAAACATAGATATAATTAGAGGCTCAATAATATAGGAGGAGTAACACTTGACACTATTATCAATCTTAATGTAATTTGGTTTATCTGACTAGTTTTAGTCACTAAAATAGTATTCTGTGGGAATGAATATAAGCTATGTTTAATAAAAAATATAAACAATAGATATTAATAAGAATATAATCACAGGTATTGGTGGATTGTCTACTCACCCAAAACTAGTAACACCCTGAGAAATAAGATAATTTTAATTTTAACTCTGAGGAAACTGAAGTTCCATGAGAACTTGTGAGTTTGTCCAAAGTCACAAATGAATGCCGAGGTCAACATCTGAACTCAGGTCTGTCTGTTCTATAGGTTTTTTAACTTCTGCTAAGCGACAGGAAGTTTTACAAGGAAGGAGTGGTTGGAAATTTAGCTGAAACTGTTGCCACTACCTAATGGGAATGGTGGAGACTTAGGAAAAGAGTAACAGCAAGAGGAAGGCCTAGAGATATTGATAGTAAAGAGAATGAAAAAGTCAGGGAGGCTGATCACAAGAGTGCCCGGTGCAGCGGGCTGTCCCGCAAGCCAGGGTGCCTTTGGGAGTCTTTCATTCTTTTAAAAAAATTTTTGGTAATTTTTATTTAAATTTTTAAATATTGAGTTTTAGACAGAGAAGGGGGGAGAGAGAGATAGAGAGAGAAAGAGAGAGGGGGGAGGGGGAGAGAGGGAGAGAGGGAGAAAGATTTTTTTGAGTAAAACCTTTTCCTTGTGTCCGTTGTTCACTATCGCGTGTTCAAATAAAGCTAGATTATTGAGAAAAGCGCAATGCAAAGGGGCGGGGGGGGGGAGGGAAAGAGCGCGACGATCGCTTTGTGCGCCTGCGCGCTGGCGGGGGCGGGGGCGGTGGCCGCGGCGGCGCCCGGCGGGGAGCGGGAGGGGAGCGGGTCCGGAGCGGGCCGCCGACCCGAAACAGAGGGGGCATCGGGAAGCTCCCTCGCCCAGGCGTCGGCGGCCTGATGGAATAAGAGGGGTCGGCTGTGAGTGTGAGTATCCAGGGTCCGGGCTGCGTTGAGGCGTCTGGGAGCCCAAGGGTCCGGTGGTCTGCCCCTTAGGGAGGTTTAGTGCTGCAGGACGCGGCCGGTCTCTACTCCTGCGGGCTGCGCGCCGGGGCATCATGGTCTTTTCTGGAGCCTGCGCGGGTTTACTGGCCAGAGGTGCCTCTGGCTTCGGGGTACAGATTCTTGGGGGGGCGTTCCTCTCTTGCTCCCCGCCCCGGCAGGAAACGTGGCTGCGGATCCCTGACCTTTAGGGAAGGCCGCTCACCTCCTTAGGCCCCCGGCGCGGCCCGTACTCCATTCACCCAAGTGCTTAAAGGCCTGTGTGTCTGAGGTCAGGGACATCTTTCGACCTCTCCTGACTGACAGCCTCTGTTCTTCCTCCTTCCGTCTTCTCTCCCCCTGTAGCATGCGTCTTAGTAATAGAATTATGGAGCGCTTACTATGTGTCAATTTAATATTTAGTCCGAATCTCGTGCATAATTATGGAGAGAATGCTTTGTATCCTACTATCCCTTCAGTCTGCTTCATTTAATCGTCTTTGAGAGTCAGAATCATATTTTGAAAGTCTGAGATTAAGTCATTTTGGGAAGTTGGAGATACCATGTCTCTTAGCAACTTGGGACTGCCATATTAGTTAAGGGCAAGTTTTTCTGCTACCCAGCAAATGAGTGCGCTGTTCACTATAGTAGTTTATATATAATTAACTCAAGCCAAAATAACTTTTCAGCACTTAGTAAGAGACTAGTACTGTTCTGAACTCCATGGGAAACCTTAAAATTTGTTTTAAGCCCTGTTCTCAACTTCGGTAGTAAATGAAACAATGGAAGATAATATTAGATTCAACTTGGATTTATTTAGTACCTACTACATGTGCCAGATACACTTGGGTCTGTCAACATAACAGAAACGTCCACACCTGTAAGGATTTTTATGAGTTTATTTGGGGCAAACTGACGGCAATTACCAGGAAGCAAAACATCTATGGATTGAGAAAATGCTCAGGAAAAATGGTAGTTTTGCACCTTATTTTATACATTACAATCAAAGGAGACGTAATGGGGTTACATGAAGTGCCCAGTCAGAGCACATGCGTGGGTTGCAGGCCAGTCCCCAGGAGAGGCAACTACATGTTGGTATTTCCCTTTATTCCTACCTTTCCCTCTCTCTAAAAAAAACCAAAACCAAAAAAAACCCACAATGCATTGAAATGCCAGAAAACATTTTTTAAGAAGAAAAATAAAAACTATGAATAATAAATGGCAGTACATACATATCTATCAGCAGTTAATTTAAATAATGAAATTTTGCCATCTGCAACAAGGCTGAACCTAGAGGGTATTGTGTTAACTAAAACAAATAGAGGAAGACAAATGCCCCATGATTTCACTTATATGTGGAATCTAAAAAACAAAATAAACAAGCAAAATGGAAACATACTCCTAGATACGGAGAACATTTTGATGTTGCCAGATTTAAGGGGGTTGGGGGAATGGGTGCAAAGTGTGAAGGAATTAAGAAGTACAAATTGGTAGCCCTGATTTGTGTGTATCAGTAGGTTGGGCAGTGTCCTTGCGACCAAAAGGTTGCTAGTTCAGTTCCTGGTCAGGGCAAATGCCTGGGTGTTTGGCCCCGTCCCTAGTTGGGGACATTGGAGAGATGACCAATTGATGTTTCTCTTCCTCTCTTTCTTCCTCCCATGCCCTCTCTTTAAAAAATTAAAAAAAAATCTTTTTTAAAAGTATATATTATTGATTATGCTATTACAGTTGTCCCATTTTTCTCTTCCCTTTATTCCCCCTGTACCCTGTACCCCACTCCCTCCAGCATTCCTGCCTCTTAGTTCATGTTCATGGATCATGGATATAAGTTCTTTGGCTTCTCCATTTTCTATACTATTCTTACCTGCCCCTGTCTATTCTGTATGTACCATTTATGCTTCTTATTCCCTGTACCTTTTCTCCCATTCTTCCCATGTCTCCTCCCTGCTGATAACCCTCCATGTGATTTTCATTTCTGTGATATTGTTCCTGTTCTACTTGTTTGCTTAGTTTCTTTTTGTTTTCGTATTTTTTTTAAATTCAGTTGTTGATAGTTGTGACTTTGTTGTCACTTTACTGTTCATAGTTTTGATCATCTTTTTTTTAGATAAGTCCCTCTAACATTTCATATAATAAAGGTTGGGTGAGGATGAACTCCTTTAACTTGACCTTATCTGGGAAGCACTTTATCTGACCTTCCATTCTAAATGATAGCTTTGCTGGATAGAGTAATCTTGGATGTAGGTCCTTGCCTTTCATGACTTCGAATACTTCTTTCCAGCCCCTTCTTGCCTGTAAGGTTTGTTTTGAGAAATCAACTGATAGTCTTATGGGAACTCCTTTGTAGGTAACTGTCTCTTTTTCTCTTGCTGCTTTTAAGATCCTCTCTTATGTTTAACCTTGGGTAATTTAATTAAGATGTGTCTTGGTGTGTTCCTCCTTGGATCCAACTTCTTTGGGACTCTCTGAGCTTCCTGGATCCGCATGTCTAGTTCCTTTGCCATATTGGGGAAGTTCTCCATTATTTTTTCAAATAAGCTTTCAATTTCTTGCTCTTCCTCTTCTCCTTCTAGCACCCCTGTGATTTGGATGTTGGAACATTTAAAGTTGTCCCAGAGGTTCCTAAGCCTCTCCTCATTTTTTTGAATTTTTCTTTCTTCATTCTGTTATAGTTGAAAATGTATCCCTTTTCTTCCAAATCTTTGATTTGAGCCCCAGTTTCCTTCCCTTCACTGTTGGTTGTCTGTATATTTTTCTTTATTTCACTTTGCATAGCCTTCAGTTTTTCCTCTGTTTTTCGACCATACTCAACCATTTCTGTGAGCATCCTGATTACCAGTGTTTTGAACTCTGCATCTGATAGGTTGGCTATCTCCTCGTCACTTAGTTCTTTTTCTGGAGTTTTGATCTCTTACTTCATTTGAGCCATATTTGTTTGTCCTGGTGCACCTGTGACATTGTAAGGGGCAGCGCTTTAGGTATTGGCCAGGGCTGGGCAACCCACCTCTCTGCATTGTGGCGCTGTATGTGGGGGAGGGGTCAGAGAACAATGCTGCTTGCTCAGCTCTTGACCCATTTTTAGTCACTTCCCTCGATTTCCACAAGCGGATTGTGCCCTTTCAGGTGCTGAATCTTGGGTGGGTAGGCTGGTATATATTCTAGGACCCTGTGGCTCCTGCCAGTGGACTCTCCTGTGAGACGGGGAGTTTCTCGTGCTGCCACAACCCCCACAGGTTTTTACAGCCAGATGTATTGAGGCTTTAGTTTCCCGTGCTGGAACCCTGGATTGTGCAGTCACTCTTGCTCCCCAGTTGTTCATCCTGACCTTTGCACACTCAAATGTGGGACCTTCTGTCTGCCAGCCGCTGCCTCACCTGCTGGGTCAGTCCTCTCTGCTCCAGCTGCCTGTCCTGCCCCTCCTACCGCCCTGGATGAATGTTTCTTCTTTAACTCCTTGGTTGTTGGACTTCCATACGGTTCAATTTTCTGCCAGTTCTGGTTGGTTTTTGTTTTAAAATTAGTTGTTATCCTTTTTGGTTGAGCAAGGAAGCAAAGCATATCTGTCTATGCCTCCATCTTGGCCTGAAGCCCTAAATTTTAAAAATCTTAAAAAAAAAAAAAAAGTTCAGCAGTAGAGTTGATGAAGCAGAGTAGATGAAGTAAATCAGAGATTTGGAAGGTAAGGAAAAAGACAACACTCAATCAGAATAGCAACAAGAAAAAAGCATCCAAAAGTTTGAGGAGGAATAGTCATGGGGATGTAAAGTACAGCTCAGGGAATATAGTTAATATACCATATGGTGTCAAGGGGTAGTAGATTTATAAGGGCGATCACTTAGTAAGTTATATGATGCATAATCATTGGGTTGTACATCTGAAACTAATATATTGTGTGCCAAATGTCATTGAAAAATAAAAATTATTTAAAGCCAATAAGATAAAATAAAAACAAACTAGAAGTAAAGAAAAAGTTATGACTCAAGCACCCTAAAATGATGTAGTTTGAGTGTGGGCTCTAAACCAGATTGCTGGATATAAATTCTGCTCTGCTGTTTACAAGGTCTGTGTTTTTGGGCACATCAGTCGACTATCCTGCACATTAGTTTCCTTATATATTAAATGAGCATAATAATAAGACTGGATCTCCTAGGTTGAAAGAATTGATTAAATGAGTTTATATATGTAAAGCTTTTAGAATAGTGTCTGATGAATGTGTTATAGAAGTATAGGCTATTATAATTTAAACCTTAAAAGAGCTTTTTCATTTAAAGTATCCATGGAAGTAACTGCAAAACAACTGTTATAACAATTCCTGTAAGAAATGTAGGGTGAGCCCTGGCTGGCGTAGCTCAGTGGATTGAGCGCGGGCTGTGAACCAAAGCATTGCAGGTTTGATTCCCAGTCAGGGCACATGCCTGGGTTGCAGGCCACGGCCCCCAGCAACCACACATTGATGTTTCTCTCTCTACCTCTTTCTCCCTCCCTTCCCTCTCTAAAAATAAATAAATAAAATCTTTAAAAAAAAAGAAATGTAGGGTGATAAAACCAAACATTTTTTCTGGTTATTTGGCTCATAAAGGAACATGATTTAAAAAAAAAAAAGATGGGGCAGTTCTCTGTGTTTTAATAATGAGTGATCTCTAAGACATAGTAAGTGGGAAAATAAGTGCAAAAGAGGTTGTACAATTATTTGTGGTTCTGAAAAATAAATATGTATTTGCATATATATGCATAGAATATTTCTGAAAGAATACATAAACTGTTACAGTGGCTGGAGGTGGCTGGGAAACAGAAGTAGGAGAATAATTTTTTCTGTAAGCTTATGAATATTTTTTTACTATGGAAACTAAACATTTAGAAAAGTGGAGGAAATACCATATTGAACCCCTGTAAATTGGTCACTCAGATTTTAAAATCTATTAATATTTTGTTTCCTTTGCCTTTATT